AATCTAGATTCTGATATTTATTCAGGTGATTGATTATATTACTAGAAAAATAAAATGTTTTGCATTTAGAAAAGGAAGAAATAGGAATGTAATAATTATATCAATTTAATTTCCAAATTGTAATAATTATATCAATTTAATTTCCAATTGGGTTATGCAATGAATTTATTTATGAATGTGGCTGTTTTTCTTTGACTATATGATAATTGTTTTTCCGAATTGCCTTATAATTAATGTAATTAATTTGTCATCCACTTTAAATCTCAAGAAATTGTATTCACATTATTGTAAATGCCACTTCTGCCTCTTCTATTCTGTATATAAATCATGTCTGAAGCTGATAAAATTCATTGCTTCCAATACTATTCATTCTAAAGAAACTTTTATTTTCTCAGCATCCTTTTCTTGATTTTCATGTCTCCCATGGCTTCGTTGAAGGTGGCTTTTCTGGCCTTTCTCTTGCTTTTTGCATCAGGTCTCTCTCTCTCTCTCTCTCTCTCTCTCTCTCTCTCTCTCTCTCTCTATGAATTAATGTTGTTATTAATGCAGGTTTTATGTTAACGAATGTTTCGGCACAGACGCCACAATGCAAGAAAAATGCCGATTGTGCAGCTTATTGCAGACATCATAGCGGCTTACCGCTTTGTCTAGATGGGATCTGCCAATGCTTCAGTGCCAAAGAATCAGAAAAATCGGCCAGTGGCACAAAGGGTTTCAAAACTAGAGGCTATTGAACAAAATTTGTCCTCCCAAGGGATGTGATTGCATCAAATTAATTTCCAAATTTATGTCATTGTTGCGTTTTTATATGAATTGATTTTCAATCGATAGATTACGAGTTCAGATTAAACTTACCAATGAATATATCAACCAACAAATTGAAACTCCAACCCACAACTCAATCAATTACAGTTGTATTCCTTCTTTCTCACTCACAATGGAACAACAATATGGCGGTGTTTTGCAAACCACAAAAACTAAGAGAAGATTGAAGAAGGCAATAATTTGAAGACAACCGGTTCTCTCTTCTCGAAGGGCAAAAACACACACCCGGCTTCCATACATTGAAGATGGGTATATATAACTTTAGGTATATTATCAATTGGGCTAATACACAAGGGATTGGGCCAAGACACAAAGTAATGGGCTAAGATACAAGGAAGTATTCCTATAAGTGAATTTGGGCAAGGCAACATTAAAACCAATTAAGTTGATACTAGTGACCCACGTTGTTTTTAGATCGAGTACATGAATTGATTGGTTGATAAATATTTCACTCATTGGTCGAGATCTATGAAATTTAATCTGAAACTGTTTAATGTCATCGCCCGGGATTTATTGGCTATCAAAACCCAACAAATCTCCACCTTGAGACTCAATAAACCTGCAAAAAATCAAAACACACAATTATCACTTGCATAGTCAAGGTAACCAATAAAATTGGAATCACAGACCTTACCTCGTGTTTCCAACATGAAACACATATCATACATACTCCATGTATTCACCAAGGCTAAGATCAAGAACACCTAAGTAGAAACAAATATTCTCAGTAATCAATCAAGAATAGATAAACGTACGATGACGATATAATATAGGATAATACACAGATTTTTCAAAAAAATATGTTTACATAGAACCACAGATTAATACCAAGTTAATCAATAAACATCAACACATATTCAACAAATGAATAAATGACCCACATGAAAAGATCTCACCACACTTATCATATCACATTCCGAGTTGCTCACACCTCGAAAACACATATCTCCTCTCATCATTCATCATGCTCACTAGATTGATCACTCAACTCATGTTTAACTGGTAAGCCACAATAGATCCTAAGTCTACGGGATAATCCTCTATCACCACGTCACTTTTCCCAACCTACTTGGATAATGGATTTCACCTAACAGAAGTGATAGAAATATCTCTCTTACACCCTATCTAATTAGGGTCTCTTCACAGATAAAAGATTATAGATATTTAATCACCTCACCACTTGTGATCCAAATGGCAAAGTCCATATCCCTGAAACAAATCACAACATACCCCTAGGTATCTAAAACTCCACCTTACCAAAAGACATACACCACACTGTTAATGCATTCTAACCCACTATGTATGTAAACAATTACACCAAATAATTATATTGCCTCAAATTCATGCAAACGCACATATCAAACACATTGAAATGCAGTATATAA